TCCGTCACTTTTTTCCTGATTTTTTAATTTCACCACATGATTGTCATCTCTTAGTAAAAAAAATATTACGCAAATTGGTAACACATTTAAGTTAAACAAATGGAATTAATAAACTGCCTCTGTGGCCGAACGGTTACCACGCTGGACTGTCACGTAGAGCTCCCGGGTTCGTTTCCCGAGGCAGGAGAAATATTTGTATGGCCTACATTTATTACTCTCGTGAATTTGGGTGTAATTTGTGGTTATCTATTTGTGTGTCCATGACACCCGCGACATAGGGTTTCTCTAGTGAGGGGTTATGAGTGAGTACGTTATTGTTATTATTATTATTATTAATCTGTGGTTATCTATGTGTATGTCCATGGCACCCGCATTACAGGATTTCGTATATCGCAATATAGGGCTCTCATAAGCCCCGTGTGTGCGTTAAAAAAAATGGGTCAGAAAATTATAAATCGTCAGTTTATATTTGTTTAAATATTAGTGTTTATACTCAGATTATATTCTAGTCCGAAGGACGGACTGCAGAATATCAAGCTACACAGTAATGGGTCTTGTTCCGCTGCTCTGGAGGCGACATTCCAAAAAAGCTTGATGTGCTGTTAACATATTCCAACTCAAATTCAATATCATCTCCACTAAATCAACACTAAATTCTACGCTCCAACTCTTACCCAGTAAGTCCAGACTGTAGATGACAACTCATTCAACCCAATGAGTGTAACTAATCTAGTGCCGCTCCAATTGTCATGAACAATGACATTGAACAGTCCAACAAAAGTGGACAAAGTAACAAAATGGACAAATGTAACGGATGTGAACATCCGTTGGATATTAAATAAAATAATACTTTAATACTGTAAGCTCTGATTAAAGGACATAGTAACGGGATATATCTTTTGAAAATGTTATCATGGTGTTTATGGAATTTTACTGGTGGATTAAGGCTTGTGGAACTGGCACCAAATTTGGAATTTTAATTTCCTGTACTATGGTTAGACCAAATGCGCCTATGAAACGAAGGTTCTCGAACATATTACATGGAACACAATCGTGTGATAAAGAAACGCTATGTGTTTCCACATATTCACCTGTTGGATAGTATATATGTATAAGGACAAGGATGATGTACGCTCGCTTAACAGATGTCTGTTTCTTTGGCCTGTAATATATATCCATACATATGTACCAAAATATATCCTATAAAATATCGAAAGGCAGACTACCCGACGACGAGGTTCAAGGTTTCGGAAGTTTGCCACCACGCACAAGTTGTTTCCGATGAAGTTCTCAAACGAATCCAGAAAATCCGATAGCCGGCAGATCATAGAAGAGCGAACTCCAAATCGAAAAATATTAATATAAGGTATAATGGAGAAACCCTTCAGCTAAAAAATCAAATCACGATTATTATTATTTAGTTATGAATTATGGCGATAATTTCCAGTGTTAATATACAAGATACTATATTACAAACAACAGTTATTATTAACAGCTAATACGATAGGATATCATATTACTAATAACAGTTCTTATTAAAAACAACGGTTAAAGGTATTACAATACTAAGTAAATTGGGCATAAGTATGGAAACTAAGTCGGTATGTCTTACATGGTTATTATAAAAGTATGGTGTAATATGATAATAGATATACACTTACAGGTAAGAACTGCTCCGACTTGAAATACCGTCTGACTCAAAAGTACGCAAAGTTTGTTTACAGCAGTAAAATTATCGCAATGAACTTGTTGTAACGGCTGATATTCAGTTTGGCAAAAAGATGTAACTGTTTAAGATGTAGCTCTAAACCAATATACCGCGGCCCCTCAAGAATGTCAGGAAATCCATCAAAAATAATTTCCTTAGGTGTTTTCCTAACCACCCGGAGTTCTTCCAGTGGTGTGAGAAATGCGCGGACACAAGTATGGCCACTGTATTTTAAGTTAAGTCAGTTTAGGTTACTTATAAGACTTAGGAGGGTTCTGAACGGTATTGCCCTGTTCAGTGCGCTCCCCTTCAGGTACTGTGCGGGATTCTCCAGGTGCAGGTTCCTCTGGGTCATCCTCATCACACTCCAGACGAGACAAGTCACCCAAGAACATAAGATAATCGGATATCGACATCTACATAGTTCGTATAGTCCGTACCGATCTTCGTTAAACGCATCTCGAAAAAGTGAGGTTCGTTGAAATAGCCTAGATTCACCTATATTTTCACATAGGCACGGCTTTAAGAGTTAGATTAATTTACTCCATTACCGCTTCCCTGAGTAGTTGGACAAATAGTTCGACATAACTGTGCTATAGCCGACATGCCACAACAAACCAGGAATTAAAGTAGATCGTTAATGTATAACGAGAGAAGAGTAGCTGAGAGAACGGGACCCTAGAGTCCAGGATATCCAGCAGGTCGAACGAAGCATTGCAGAAAGCAAGACGTTTCGTAAGATGGAAAGGATTAGTTTATCAAACTCCTCACACACAGATCAGACAGATCGCAGCACAAGTAAAGAGGTCTCTGTGCTTTTTACCTAATAGCACCAGGACACCGGCCAAAAGACCGAAGAAGTCGTTATTTTCGAGGTAATCCAGGCGATAAGTATACAATACACGTTCCATAATCTTATATAGTATGCAATCACCTATTGCAATAGGGCGATAATTCGCGAGGTCAGCACGTCAGTCTATGTTGGGTACTGGAGGCACATTAGCATTAGTTTTTTACGACTTAAGGCCTAAACAAACTTTTCGGAATGCTTCTATTGCTAACTAGTTAGTGTATTCGAATAAGAAAATTATACCGTCTTGTATCTTTGTAGATAAAAATATCTTTTTTTTATACCAAGCGACGGGACGAACAATTCGTGCGCCTGGTGGTAAGCGACACGCCTATCCATAACAGTTGCAGTGCCACTCAGAGCTTTAAATCGCAAAAATTTTAGCATTGCCGCTTCGCCCATTACCCTGAGACATAAATTGACAAGTCCCACGAGCCTGTAACTTCACCAGCACCCTTACTCTTCAAAACCGAAATACAGTAATGCTCACATTACTGCTTGGTAGCAGAAACAGTTAAGGTCGCAGTACTTCCCTGAACGAACTCTTTCACACGGAGTTCTACTGCTACTAAATAAAACACATACAGAGATATAAGTTGACTACTCCCAAGTGCCTGTAATTTACCCTTACCCTTAAAAATATTAGAATTTAAGTTTATTTTATTGATATGCTGTTATTTACATATCATAAGTATTTCTCATGTGCATGTAGTTGTATGTACACTACCTATTATGTCGGTTTTCGTATCTGTTTATTTATTAATTGTTGAGTTCTGTATTGTTGTCAGTGGCTCACTCGCCCCGGGCTTGAAATCGAAGTCGATTGAAGTCGAAGTCGATTTTGAAAGCAATGGATTTATAGTTATAAAAATAACATGGCCGTTTAAACTACAGGGGAATCAAACTGCTCAAAGTCATTTGGGTTCCTCCAAAATAATCTGCCTGATTTAATGGAAGACGTAGGTACGCGAGGAGTTCCGAGAAAACCATAGATTTCAAAATGAGTTCTTAATTTTTTTTAAGTTAGTCTTACTGTTTACTAGCTATCTATTGCCACAGTTAACGTAATATATTACTATCACCAAAAATCCCAAAGAATTCATTCATTTATGGTCGTGGGGTACAAAAATGTAAAAAATACATCACAACAAACAGTATGATTATACTTGAGACATGTACTTCTTTGTATTTATTTTAACAGTCATAAGCTGTGCTGTAAGGCATTTCAGACTTATCTATTAATTATATGCGACATGCAAAAACAATGAAACTTTTATTTGAAGTGGTTTTTTATCAGAACCGGGAGTACTGTGGGCGTAGGGAGTAATGGGATTTACCGATAATATTCGGAGTTACTGAGCCGACTAGTTTTTTCTACAATTTCGAAGGTTTTCACGGTAATCTGAAAACTACAAATGAAAATACAATTTGTTTTTCTCTTTATCAGTTATAACTCAATGTTCCTTGGAAGATATACATTTAGATAAAGATAAATACTTCAGTACGAGTAACAAATGGTACAATCACAGACATATTATATCTGTGGGGTACAATGATGTTATTTAACCACGAAATTATGTACTTCTTATTGGTAACTGTACTCCATCGTGACAATACCACATTTTCACGTAAGCCCTGTAATGCAAATTGCAACACAAATACTATTTACACAAAACAGTCGTGCGTAACAAGATACATGGTCACTCTTTTGTATTCGTATATAATAAGTATGACAAAAACATCTTAAGCGAAAACCCAATAAATGTTTATTATGAATACGATTCAAATAGGCAAGTCTTCAAATCTATCACGGTACACTTTTCAAACGTAAACCTATTGCTAATACACTAGAAAAAGCGACTTGATTCATAATTACTGTCTATTAATGATTTCTACACCTGTCACAGACATCAGTTGGCAACTGATCTCCGATGTTATATTTTTTCTATGTCTACTGACGGCAAAAGTAAATTGTGCACCTAGTGGTAAGCGCCATGCCTACCCGTAACAGTACCAGTACCACTCACAGCTTAATAGCAAAAATCTGAGGGGCACTGCCATTGCAACCGTGTCGCCCTGAGAGCCATTTGATAAGTCCCGTATGCCTGTAGTTTCACCAGCACTCTTACGCAGAAATAGGTGTGGCAATAATTAAAACTTATTCTTTTTGCGATCAGATCGGAATATTATGTTGTAATCAATAACATAACTAGACTCAGTTTAAAATTATCTGACATGCTGAATTTTGTTTAAATTTAAATCCATTTTTGGTGTACTTTTTTTACAAAGTTCCTAACTACATAGTACCTAAGTGCCAAAGGTAAATTAGATATTTAGGATGAAAATGGTTAAATATTCAAGGAATAATAGACTTACTACATGAGATTTCCGTATCATCATAATATATAGGTAAACCAAATAAAAGGCAATCAAAACACTTACCTTCTTAGGCAAGGTTGGAGACTCGAATTCCTCGTCGTCTCTGCTGGAGAGAGTGGAGCATGAAGAGCACGCCGAGTCTGCAGACAGTGACCTCGACCTCAGCCAGTTCACCTCCTCTTCAGTAGCGCCAACCGCCACCCCGTCCGAGTAGTCGCTGACTACAACACTTGGAGTCCTTACACATCGACTCCTGGTCTCGCACCCCTCGCTGCCTCGTCGCCCCAAATCAACCACGTGAGCCTCAATTAACGTCCTCTCCCTCCTCGGCGACATTGTATCTGGAGGCGGTGTGATTTCGCGAGGGTGCGAATGCCTGCGCCGCGGTTCCAGCTCAATGGCAGAGTCGTCGCTTAAGTCACGGCTGCGTCTCCTCACTGCAGCTCTGTCGTCGTCGTCTGAAGATGTGATGTCTTCTGGGGAAGAAGGACGTGGCGGCCGAAGATACTGCATTTGTGCGGGTTCGAATCGGCGCAGGAGCTCGTTAACGCGCGGCTGCACGTGACGGGCGATACGCGCGATCGGCGGCGCGCGCACGGCCGCACTGGCGCTACTCCGGCGCTGCGAAGGCGGCTGTGACGCCTCCCGCGCATCATCCGGAGACACCCCTGCCCCCAATTTCAAATAATACAAACTGTGGTTCAAGGCTTTTTCGCGCAACACGCGGCGAAAATCTTCCGGCGGTGCCTGTTCGAGGCGAGGCATCCTTGCTGAAAACAAAAGAATAATTTTTGATATCGATTATCGTATGACCTTCAACAATATTTTTATAAATGTGAACCGGTTTCGGTTGACACAAATTTACTATCACTGTATATGCCTAAGAATGCGCCTAGTACTGAGGACAGAGTGGAAACTTATACTTTATTACATGTAATATTTGTAATTTTGTTTACCGCATTCCACACTGACAAATTGCCCATGTAACCTCTAGATATACATACATATATACATAGTAAGCAAGAGCAATTGAATCTGAAGTCAATGAGAGAAAATAACAAAGACCGTACTGTATGTATACACTTTGTACATCCGTTCCCACACGACTAAAGGTAAACAGAGGGGGAAGGATTAGCTACAGTTGTTTATGTAAACTTTCGTATTAATTAATGTACCTACTTAATCATGTAGGTGTAATACCTGATTTAGTCGTCAGTTGTGTTGTCCTCTGTGCCTTTGGATCTCAGTCATCTAACATCGCCGAGTGGTCTGAAACAAATAAACATCAGTTGTTACGATATACATTTTGTTTATCTATTATTTATTTTCGAGGAACCTGTTCAAATAATCCTATTTTAAACAATGATAAATCGACGTTGATGTTTTCGTATGACATTTACGGATTTGACCGCTTATATTTTCCTGTGAAGTTACGTTTGTTGAAAAACTGGTATAAGCAAGATATAAACCCAAATTATTTATTTTATCCAACAAAGGAGTAATAGACAAAGTTAATTATATTAATAAAAAAATAAACTATAAATGAAATTAAATTGTAATCAATGAGATCGTAAATTAATAGAAGAAACATAAATATAAACTACGAATGCGAATGAGAAAGTATTTAATATTAAAAATAAATATACCTGAAAATTATGAAATTTGAATCCCAATGACATAAATTTAGTGTAGAACTTACGTCGTGCGCAGTATTGCTGAAATGTACTTGTAATTATTTACGAAGACATAATGAAAGTTTATTCTTAATTCGTTCGTAGTATTTAGACAAATATATTAACATGAGAGTTAGGTAAAATATCCATGTCCACTACTGGACTTTTATTCACCAATGAAATTATACTATTTGTAGCGCACGGATAATTTACTAAAATATAAAATCCAAATTAGTATAATAGACTGCGTAAATAATAATAAATAATACGTTGGGTTCAAACAAATACTTAATAATTGTTATTAACAGTGTAATAGTGTACTTATATGCCAACAAAAATGTACATCCTCATTTTGATCAATGTATTTTTCTGCACCTGGGTATTAAACAACCATTGAGGAACCAAGATAAAAGGTACGATATCCATTCTAGCTCTACTTCCAAGTTGCCAGGATATACTAAATTGGCAGTGCTATGTAGTTATGAAGACAGTGTGGCCCACTGGAAGGGGGGCGGTAAACAAGCCGGTAATTACACATAAATATTTTTGCCAGATCCAAGCCCATCCCAGACAAGTGAACATTTACCAAGTAGTTTTTCTAAGCGTTTTACATGGTATACCTCCCTATGACAAAGAAGTCAATTTACTTATATTTCAACTACTGGCTGTTGTTTGTTAACATTTTTGTGTGATGCCTAGCGACAAAACCGCTAAAATACAGTTGTAATACCACTCAGAGCTTTATATCACAAAGATCTGAAGGGCACTACCACTGCGCACGTCACCCTGAGATATAAGTTGGCGTCTCACGTGCCTGTAATTTCACCAGTACCCTTTACCCTTCAAAACCGGAACGCAGTAATGCTCACAATACTGTTTGACGGCAAAAATAAGTAAGAGGGCAATAATTCCTACACAAACTCATTCACAATGAGGGCTATTGCTACTAAAGCATAAAATTAATAATTTTTGGAAAAGCTAGGTTTATTTGACGTAAGTAGTCAAACTGTAAATACAATTTTGTGCACTATGCTATAAGTAAATGAAAATTATACCCTTTAAATCTATTAAAAACAATAAAAATTATTTGTATTAAAAAATGGGGCGGCAAGTTGACCGAAGCGGGCGATCTGCTTTAATCCGGCCCTGGTTCAACTAATGTGTAATGTTATAACAATGAGATACAATTACATGAAATACGTGCACGGCTTCCACGAAATACATCGTCGAGTGTACTTAATAGTTAACTGCATGATTGGCACTTCTCTTCATAGGGTTGTTTAAAAATTGCAGAGATGATTATGTTGTTAATGACTTCCGGCAGTCTAAATAGAGACTGTATTCAACCGACTTTAAAAAAGGAGGTGGTTCTGAATTCCATTGCATTTTTTGTGTATGTTACGCGATTACTCCGACATTATTTGTGAATCGATTTCAATGATTCTTTTTTTGTTGGAGGTACTTCAGTACTGGTCGCATTAAATTTTGAAAAAGGGTAGCAAATTAGAGGATGAATCCGGTTCATTGAATTTCACCCACTTTCCGTTAACCGATTTCAGTACAACTTAAAAAAATCCACAAATTTTTTAGATCGGTTTTTTTTGTAAAAGTTGTAATTTATTGGTTATATGTACGTAAGCATGTAAATAAATAGTTTGTTACTTATGATTGTAACGATACTTAGCGGAGGAAAGGATTAATTAATAAATAATAATAACGTACACACTCATAGCCCCGCACTAGGGAGACCCTGTATCGCGGGTGCCATGACACACATAGACAACCACAAATTACGCCCAAACCCCTGAGAGATATAAATGTAGGCCATACAAATATTTCTAGCATGATAACCGTTCGGCCACTGAGGCCGTTCTTTGTTTGCAATTTGATGTAGTTAGGTAAAATTTTCCTGCTCGTTCGATCTGTGTAGTCAATATATTTTGCTTTTCTTCTAAAAAAGACTTTTTTACGTAAACATAGATTTTATTATTAATATATATTTTGTTTATTCGTATTGTAAACTTAGTACCTTATCTTTCACGTCTGTCTCTTCCGAAGTGTCAGTAATTTCTATTATACACATAGACAAGGGCAGAAGGGTATTGTATAAAGCATGGAAAATGTGTGTAAATGAAACCATAGTACATTTTCTTTTTATTTTCAAGTACAACTGTGTAGAACACACAGCAACTAAGACACATGTAATTATTATAATAGGTATCATATTAATTCCTCTCCTATTTTATTGTTTGTAGTACCTTCAGCAGCAGTGGAGCGCCTTGGAAAAGAATTCGTGCTACTTGGCCATTTTTGCCGCCAAGCAGTAATGTGAGCATTACTGCATTCCACTTTGGAAGGATTACAGGCACATGGGACTTGTCAATTTATGTCTCAAAGTGACCCGCAGTGCCCCTCAGATCTTTATGCGATTTAAAGCCTAAGCGCCACTGCGACTGTTATGGATGGGTGAGACTTGATCGTCCCGTCACTATTATAAAAAAAAACCTACATGAGAATCCGCAAAAAATGTTTTATACCTTTATAAGGATACAAAGTTGGTAAAAATGCAACAGAGATGAAATCGTCTAGGAAAATTTACGATTAATAAATAAAACATAACCAAGTCGTAAAGTAACTTTTTAACTATACAAATACAAACAAACATGTTTACGATGTTTACGCGGTTCCGCACAGAGATGGGCTAAAGCCCAATCAGTCTGCCCGGATATCAACCGGGTTTTTACGCAAGGTGAAGGGTTTTAACCCATTTCTGCCCAAAATCGTGGACGGAAATGGAGAATACGGAATTTAATATAATTCCATAGGTAACTTACAAATTTCGATGTAAAAAGGGTTTTTTAGAAAAGAAAGCAACTCCTCACAATTCCTTCCTTGCAATCCTGTGGATTCCCAATACAATTCAATTTTTACGAAAATCGATTCAAGTGCTTATGATCTAACGATTTTTTGTTTCGATTTATTTCAATGCGATTTTCAAGCGAATCGAGTCAATAGAAAGTCAAATCGAATAAGTAGTCTAGAACAGAAAGCAATCAATATTTTGTATTAATATCAATATTATTTGTATTAATATCAATATTTAGTTTAAATCGTTTTTGCCCTCGATTTCGAGTATTAATGGATTTTAACGCGATTTAAGCCCTCCATAAACAAGGCGCCAGGTAAAAATCCGGAGTCTTGCCCATCTCTGATTCCGCGCAATGTTGATGGAAGATTTGTGTAACTACGCGACAAGTTCATAAAATTTGTCTGATTACAACAATGCAATACTTGTAACAAGTACAGACATGTCAGAGCAGGTTGACAGCTTGAATTATTCAACGTTTACTGTCTCGATTTTGGAGCCGATGATTTCCACAAGGATGTCAATGCCAAATTCTACTTTCATGATGCTCTTTAAAGAAATAAATATGAGAAGTTTATGGCAATGCCAAGATATCTTGAGCTTTTCATTTTGTTTACTCAATGTTGTAATCTTAGTGTAATACAGTTACGAAGGGATGCGACACAGGATTACAGGCCGGGGTGCAGTCCAGGACACCTCCACGTGTGCCCGTATACTACTGGTCCTTTTGGATACGGTTTATCCGGGGAGAACAGCAATATTGCGGGCCGGTGCGCCCTGAGTAACGATTAACAACTTGTCATCGTGGTCTCTTGTTGGTCGTTCGCAAAATTCCTGCAAAATTCCATTCGCTTGGCGCTGGTCTTAGCGACCTATTATCATGACAGAGTCGACCGACCGACTGGGATCAGGGACCTTAATTGGCCGGCCCGAGTGTAATACAACAGTAATAGAAATTCCTCGAAGGTGCAGCCATTAGTGCGCCCCTCGGGACCTCGCGCGGTGGCAGCACGCTCGTTGCACGCTCGCGACTACCCACCTTGTGACCCTCTCTGCGAGCGCACTCGCACTCTCAGGGTATAATAAGCTCTTGAGTCGCTGTCTTCCACTCATTACTGACGGCGTACGTGTTCCACGCTGTCTCTCTTGATGTCTGCCGGGGAGATAACATGTCTCTCCGGAAAGCGAGAAGGGACTCGTCTCGGTCGGTACCACTCACTGTTGGAGTTGCGAAAAAATGCGTAAGCGATACGGTGAGGAAAAGGAATGCCACCAGGTTTTAGTCGATAAGAGTCCAACATAACCCTTCGCCTCTCTTGGGCGTATATCTATGTAGATATAAAGTATCAATTTGAATATCATACGTATGATAGTCTAGGAACCAAATCAAATTGTCGCCTTGGTGTTGCGTTGTAATCTGTGGTCGTAATTCTGAGGATGTGCCATCAATTGAAGCCTTCGCAGTCTCAAAACAGTTTTGTTTGCAAGCGGAGATCATATATATAGCTAGCCGTATCCGCTGTTTTGGTGACCCAAACTCAATGTCAAATAATCTTTATTTTATAGGTTAATAATAAATCATAAATTTCAAATCGTCATTGATTAAACTAAAGTCTACTACTCATTCGTGAGGCAAATTCCCCTGAGAAGAATATGTATGAGATTATAGAGGTAAAAACATTTGTATACATTTCAAATTGTATTTATTTCAAATATGATAAATCACGACA